CACAGGATGATGAAGAAGGGACAGGTTATGAACAAATAATCTAGAAACAGGGGAGGTCCCTGACAAATGGAGAAACACAAGTGTTTGCAAAAAAGACCAGAAGGGTAGTTTGGGGAACACAGGCTCAGCTGCCTCACTTTGTTACCTGAGAAAATAATGTAAAATGTCCTCTGAGAAAACATTTATGGGCATGCAAAGGATTAGGTGCAGGCTGATAATGGTAAGCATAGATTTATCAAGTGTAAATTATGCCTGACCAATCTGCTTGCTTCCTATAGTAGACTGGCTCTGCAGACCAGGGGAGAATGGTGGATGCCACTTACCTTGATTTTAGCAAAGCTTTCAACACTGTCAGAAAATACTCTCAACATGGAAGTTTGGATGTTACAGTCTGGATGGACAGACAACTAGATGTGTTAAAAACTAGTTGGATGATCCAACTTAGAAAGTAGTAAACATGTACTGTATCTGGAGGCCAGTAACAAATGGAGTACCATAGGGGACTATCCTGGAACCTGTTTTTTTTCTTTTAAATGTCTGGTGGTGACTCACTGATAAAAATACATGCTCATCAAGCTTGCAGATGACACCAAATTGGATGGAATGGTCAATATGCTTGAGGGCAGAGCTGCCATGCAGAGATACCTAAATAGATGGGAGTAATGGGCTGACAGGAACCATATGAAATTCAACAGGACATGCAAAGTCTTGGAAAAGGATAACCCCTTGCAATGATACACGCTAGGGAGCAGCTCTATGTAAAAGGACCTGGGAGTCTTGATGCGTGTTCAGCAAGCTAACCATGAGCCAGGAGCGTGCCTTGGCAGCAAAGGCGGCCAACAGTATCCTTGGCTGCATCAACGGTAGCATAGCCAGTAGTCTGAGGAATGTGATTATCCCTCTCTAATCAGCACTAGTTGGACCAAATTTAGAATACTGTGTCCAGTTTTGGGCCCCCCAGTCCACAAAAAACATTGATAAACTGGAGCAAGTTCAGCAGAGGGCTGCCAAGCTGGTTAGGGAGACATGCCCTGTGAGAAGCAGCTAAGGGAACAGCAAGCTTCAGGGGGATCTAACAGCTTTCCAATACCTACAAGAAGGTAACCAAGAAGATGGAGCCAGGCTCCTCATGTTGGCAGTCAGTGGAAGAAAAAGAGACAACAGGCATAAATTGAAACAAGAGAGGTCCCAACCTGACATAAGGAAAAAAACTTTTCACCATGAGGACACTCAAGCAGTGGAACTGGTTGCCAAGAGAGACTGAAAACCTCCAGGAATGGAGACTGCACAAAGCTTGACTGCATAAAGCCCTGATTAACCTAGGCTGACCCCATAATTGACCCTGCTTTGAGCACGATGTTGGACCAAAAACTTCCTGATGCTCCTTCGAGCCTGAATCGTTCTATGATCCTACATTTAAGGAGTCCTATAGACAATGTTTTGCACATGCTTGCACAACCCTCCAGCAACTTTAGAACACAAAACTCCAGGGCTGTGTGAATGCTATCCAATTAACTCAAACATTCAGCACAAGACCAGATGAAGTCTCATGTGCTTTCTCTCCCAAAATACTACTGCATGTCCAGATGCAATCACAGCTTCACAAAGACAACACATAAGAAATAGCATTTTCCCTGTCAAGGGAAAGCTCAATGCACTAATCCACGTGCATGATCAAGTCAAGCTGTATAACTTCTACAACTGACTGCAGAAGACTGCTCACGGACGTGAAATGAAGACCCACTCCAAAGCATCACACTCACTCAAATGTGTTGAATGAAACAATACAGCTAACTTTAAACAGCTACTAAAGTGAGCTGTGCAATAGTGGCACCTAGTGGTCAGTGCTTACAGCGAAGTCAGGGCCCAATTCAAGACAAAAATTTACTGCCCATCTACCAACTTTGCTACTCTACAAAATCAGTTGAGGCTTTTGAATTGTGTATATATATATGTATATACACACACACGCATCTCTATATGAGCCAACAAGTGCAGTAACCAATAAGACAAATGCCATTCCATCATTCAGTTTTAAGTCACGCACATTAGTTGCTGGCTGGGGTTAAACCACGACACACATTTTATGAACTTGAAAAAAGTCATTCCAGAAATAGAATAAGTTCTTTCCAGATGCAAGAAGCATTATTGTTTGGCCTAAAAGAGAAACATGTCCAGAATGATGGATTAGTACTGCACCTTTTCATTTATACCAACAGAAAAGAGTTTCCAGATCCTCAGGTGTATAATAATCATCCACTTCACTGACAAATACAACATTGATATGTTTCTTGTCAAGAAACAGGCACAAAAAGTAGAACATGCAAGCTCTCTATTTACTGCATAAACACTGTCCAAGAATCGGTAAATAGTTTTAGTGTTACAAGTTTTACAGCATCCCCAAACTTTAAGGAATGTTCATGCTACTGATTCGTGAAAGATTAATGATTTCTTCTAATCTTAGGCATCTGGAGAACAAGGAGAGGCAAAATTGAACCATTTCAAAATTCCAGAGATTTGTAAGAATGTAGGTTCCGCTCAGTGAACACACCTTGAAACTACCTAAGTTCATTATATCTTTCCATTTCTCCTGCTATCAGGTCTGCTTGCACTTCGTGCCATATTTGAATCAAATCATCATAGTTTCATTAAATTTCCACTCTGACAGTTTTCCCTTCCCTTATTTATCTACTACTCACTTTCTTAGCCTAATGACTTGAGGATGAGAAACACATTTTTGTTATTCTCCATAGGTTGGCAGGTGCTTGGTTGCACCATATGTCCTGTTATGTTCAAAACATTATTAAGCACACCTCATCACCGTCCAACATCTTCAATTTGGTTTCTAGGTTTCCAAAGCAAAGGAACTTAACTCAGGCAGATGAAGAAAGCCTCTTTTCAACGTGTTCCACAATGTACCAAGCATTTATTTGGCTACTTTGTATTTTATTCAAGTTCAAGTTTCATAAGATGTCCACTGTAACAAGATGAAACTGAAATAACAGACTTCTAATCATTAAGTAAACAACCAAAAATACTGCATTTTTCTTGTGGCATAGCAAATACCAAGACCTGTTTTTTGCAACTTGGCTGATCTCTGCATCGGAGAAACAGCAATACTACAGACAGGTTGTCGTTTGCTTAGATTTCCCAGCAGGCTTCTAGAGATTAAACAATGGGATCTTTTGCTGCATTGTTGCTTTTCTCCCTCTGCTCTTCAGAATGCAGTAGTAAAAGAACTAGAGAAATTTCTTGTGTAAAACTGCATATTCCGGAATTCATAACTGTCACATCACAGGCAGGGCATACAGACAGTCCTCGCTCATATGGCTTACCAAACACTTCAGAGAAATACTTTTTTGTTCATCAATGTTGTGACTTTTACAGTTTCTAAGCTATATACCAGTCCTATAATATCTGAGAACTTCAGCATACTAATGAAGATTCTTTCAAAGACAGCCAACTGATTGGTATATTTCTATAAGCACTGAGCTACTATATAGATACATACATAGAAATAGCAGTATTTTACATCGTGAGGTTATAAAGCCTATATAGAATACAAGAGATACTAGAAACACCACTGTGCAACTACCTTCCATTCTTGGTCAGTGATACAACCAATAACACCTACATGTATACATGCAAACTAATGAACACACCAGCATCTGATGTTAATGAGATATATATCCCAGAATAAATGGGACAGCAGATACAGCAGAGGAAGCAACAGAATAAATAGCTGAACGCTGAAAAGAATTTCCAAGCTCTAGAGAATTCTCCAAATTAGAAACTGATAATTCCCAGCAACTATTCCACTCTGATTTTTCTCACATGCCTTAAACAGAAGGGTAATTAACAAGACATAGCATTTTATGTTACACTTTGCTGAACTGTATATACCTAAAAAAGTGGTCTTTCCACCCTGAAAAGTAAGTTCATGCACATAAGTGTCTTTCCATTTCTCATTTTTATCAACGTACAGTGCCAGATGATTTAAATAAATCTAAAAGGATACATTAGATGTTGAATCAAAAGTTTTCTTTAATCACCAGCACAGACAGCATGTCTCTGGCATCCAGGATGTTGAAATGAAAACAAAGAAACACAATTTAAAAGTAAAACAAAAACTGCAAAACAACTTCAGAAATACCTCCCATTTCCAGCCTCAATGCAATCTGAACAGTAATTTAAATAATGCTTATGGCTTGCTTATAACATTTTGTTTTCAGCTGTGCAGATTAGACTCAATTCAGTCTAAAAAAAAGATTCTTTAGTATGAAGGACAGCTGATTTGCTAAATTTTTTTATAGAAAAATTACTGATTATAAATGAAAAAAAATACTAACTTCTATAATGCTTAAGAAAATTGCTCTTCTCTCTGTACTAATGCCAGCACTTACCAATTCAAATTCCTGTGTTACACTTACACTTCTCTAATTAATGTCACATTTATAAGCCTGCCCAAAAGACTAACTTCAGGTCTTGAAAAACATTTAAAATCACCAGACCCTTCCTAAGAAATAATTCTTATGCTTCACTTATGAGGTTAAAAAGAAAAGAAAGGCTAAATAACTGATGTCACCATTTGTCAGCAGCAATAAAGACTCCTTTATATAAAGGTATATAAAACAAAATGACAAAAAGAAAGTAATTAACAAGCAAGAAGTAAAGCACATTAGTTTAGGTACTTACCAGACCCACAAGATTGAAATCTTTGGAAGTTCATTTACAACTAGGGAACTAACCAAACAGCCATACATCCACTGATTTCATAAAAATGTAATACAAAGAGTAACCTTAAAAATCTATAAGCTTGCCCCAATTGTTTTTCAAATTTTTATATTTCCTAATAAGGTTTGAGTTGTAAACATTTACTCTGAATTATTAAATAAGTAAATGATTAGATTTTCTTTCATTCCCTCTCCTCGAGACACATGCACAAGAAAGGAAAAAAAAAGGTGCTCAACAAGACAAAAATATAACAGAAATTCTATTACCTTGGATTTAAGATTTCACCAACAATTTCTTGCAGCTTGTCAATAAAATTAACAAAGTTTGAAAGCCCCTTTACATGGGCTTTTAAAGGATCAAATAATGAAGATGCACAGCCTCTTCCTCCAAGTTCTATGGTTCGGATAAAAGATGTTGCCATCTATTAGAAGAAATATTCAGAAATATGAAACTTTAGACATACACAAAATATATATATGTTGAAGTGAGCCTCTCCTACAGATTTGCAAACTGTATAACAGCTGGTTGATAGCAGAAAGAATTTAACTGATATCAATAGAATACCTCTTAAGCTTTGTACATCTCACCATAAATATTTGCAAGATCAATACTTAAATAGTGCAGCAGTATAAAAAAAAAAACACAAGCCAAAGCAAAAGTGACCCAGCTAATTTATATTTTCATTGGCCTTTTGACAGCTTAGAAAAAACTTTATTAACACAGGGTATAGAATTTTTTTGTTGTTGCTGATGTTTAAATGCTTGTGCTGACCTCACAGAAACTACTGTTATATTCAGACAGCTGTCTATGACCCAAGAACAATTTTAACATAAGCATGTAAAAGTTGACTTCAGTAGTATATTTATTTTCAGAGGCGCAAATAAAAATAATGTATACTCAAATCTTCTGAATAATAGTGACAGTTAAGGCTTCTGTCATATAGAACATACCATACAGGTACCCAATTCTGAAAGTTTCCATATATTTTTATATGCTATAAAGACACTGAAAACAAGAGATGTCCCAAAAGCAGTACGCCTTAGAGGACAACTCCTCAAACTTTAAGGCAACAGTCAGAATAAAAAGCTTAGCAGTTCTCTAGAAAGGTGAAAGTAAAGATGACAATCCAACACGCTTGACACAGATGCAGTAATATTAATTCTACATATAAATTTTAATTTCAGACTATACAGCTAAATCATAAAGCTCTTAGGACTGGAAAGAGTACAACTGGAATTACTCTAGCAAAGAAAGTAAACCTGCCAGTATTCCTGTCTTTGTGCTAAAGATTTCCTGTGGATCAAGTACAGTTCATAGGACCTTGCTTTCCCAATGGAAAATATTCTGGCTTTGCAAGATTTCTACAAGACACAGATGCCAGAAAAGAAGATTTCTTTACACGGTAGAGAAGTTTCCCCTCTGGCAACTGTGAGGAAGAGGTAATAAATCCAGTCCAAGCACATACTTTTTTTTATACAATGTTAACAGAGCATTAGGAGCTAAAATAATTAATTCTGGAACTGAGATTTCACAAATTTTCCATATTTATTCAACCATAAAAATCTGAGAATGCAGCTGCTTCAGTGATTGTTACATACCCATACTGTTTTTCCTTGGTCTGCTGTTGTCTGCACTGAGGCCACCATGCATGCAAAATTTGATTATTTTGAATATAAAGGACTATAGTGGTTCTTTGGAGAAAGGATTCTTACTCATCTTATTCCAACTATTTTTGAGATGGCTCTGTGCTGACTATAACTACTGTAAGTATAAATACACCTCACATACCAAACTAGATTCTTTAGCAGCAAGCCTATGAGCATTGCACATTGATGCTGTAACTTTTTATATTCCTACACAAGTGCATTGAGAGAATATACCACTGTCTCGAGGTTTTTCTTTCAGCTCTGTGCCTTTGAGAATAAAATGAGCAGGAATGTCCCATACCAATCACATCTTAAAGAGTATTTCAAGACCAATCAAGCTGCAAATAACTGGAAAGCATTACCCTCCCCAAATTCCTAGTCAAAGCTGAAAATACTACAATACCGCCCTTCCGATTTTTGGCCTCTGTTCTAGTGTACATGTCAAAGGCAGGGTTTTATCACCAAGTTGCTCTAAAAAAAGTAATTTACACACAGAAATACTTTAGGTTCCAAATGTCTCAAGTTTAACAAATGCACAGAAAAATGCTGATTTACTATTTAACCAAAATACACACTTACAGCGCTTTAAAACTGGAGCTCATTGTAACACATTGTTAGTGGCTTAGTTTTGTTAATATTAATACTGCTTTGTGATATTTTTTTAACCCAAACTCATTGCTGCATTGGGCTTGTGTGGCAAGGTTTTGGTAGCTGGGGGCTACAGGAGTGACTTCTGTGAGAAGCTGCTAGAAGCTTCCCCCATGTCCAACAGAGCCAATACCAGCCAGCTCTAAGACGGACCTGCCGCTGGCCAAGGTCGAGCCCATCAGCGATAGTGGTTAGCACCTCTGTGATAACATATTTAAGATGGAAAAAAAAAGTTTCAGGGCACACAGAAACAGCAGCTGGAGAGAGGACTGAGAACATGCAAGAGAAACAGCCCTGCAGACACCAAGGTCAGTGCAGAAGGAGGGGGAGGAGGTGCTCTAGGTGCCGGAGCAGAGATTCCCCTGCAGCCTGTGGTGAAGACCATGGTGAGGCAGGCTGTCCCCCTGCAGCCCAGGGAGGTCCACAGTGGAGCAGATCTCCACCTGCAGCCTGGGTAGGACCCCATGCCGGAGCAGGGGGATGCCTGAAGGAGGCTGTGACCCCGTGGGAAGCCCACGCTGGAGCAGGCTCCTGGCAGGACCTGTGGCCCCATGGAGAGAGGAGCCCACGCTGGAGCAGGTTTTCTGGCAGGACTTGTGACCCTGCAGGGGACCCACGCTGGAGCAGTCTGTGCCTGAAGGACTGCACTCCATGGAAGGGACCCACGCTGGAGCAGCTCGTGAACTGTAGCCAGCGGGAAGGACTCACGTTGGAGAAGTTCATGGACGACTGTCTCGCATGGGAGGGACCCCATGCTGGAGCAGGGGAAGAGTGTGAGGAGTCCCGCCCCTGAGGAGGATGAAGCCACAGACACAACATGTGATGAACTGACCCCAACTCCCATTTCTGTTCCCCTGTGCTGCTGCCAGGGAGCAGGTAGAGAAAATCAGGAGCAGAGTTCAGCCCAGGAAGAAGGGAGGGGTGGGAGGAAGGTGTTTTAAGATTTGGTTTTACTTCTTATTACCCTACTCTGACTTGATTGGTAGTAAGTTAAATTAATTTTTCTCAAGTCAAGTCTGTTTTGCCCATGACAGTAACTGGTGAGTGATCTCTCCCTGTCCTTATCTCAACCCATGAGCTTTTTGTTATATTTTCTCTCCCCTGTCCATCTGAGGAGGGGGACTGATAGAGCGGCTTTGGTGGGCACCTGGGTTAACCCACCACAATTGCTTTTAGAGGTATTTGGTAAGGAGCAACATCTAGTCTAATGCCATCTTTTCTTCCTCTGTCTTTTTTCTTTGATATGCATACTCATGACCTCACTTCACACTATTTACCAAGACTTCAACATTTTAAAAGCAATTACAAAAAGCGTATCTTATATTCATGTTTAAGATAGTAAACGTTTTCACAATTTCTGTCACTATTTGGGACGAACAGTCTCAATGCCTGTTTTTATGGTATCACATTTTAGAGCTCTAGAGGCACACATGCACACAATTATTTTCTCCGAGCATCTTTAGATCTCGTGACCAAGCAAGCACTGATGTCTTCACATAGAATCTCTGTTGTGTCTTTTTAACCTAGAAACTGTGTTTATGGTGGTATTTGACTTGGCTTGCAAATGTCAGTCTTGCATATGAGATTAAAGCAACAGTTTATGTTTATAGAGCTATTTCATTGCCTCTGATCTACAGCAAGTTTCATTTGACACACATACCAGGAAAATGGACATTTTTCTCTTCTGTGAGGCATGTTTTAGGTTAGTGAAGGCTTCTCTACCAAGTCCTCTTTCAGGAACATTTAGAATATGAGCCAATGACAGATCATCTTTAGAATTCACCAACAGGCTTAAATATGAACAAACACACTTCTTTGCCAGCATTGTCACCTGTAAAAGAAAGCATCACACAAATTGGTCATCCCGCTACTAAATTATGTTCCTTCTTTTTGAAAGCTAATTAGATATGTACTGATATTATTTTTGGAAGAGTAAGAATTTCACCTTGCATAATTTCAAAATGCTACTTTATGTATGGGGATTCTGGAAGTATTGACAAAAGCAAGCATGATTAATATGTTAAAATTACATATACTGTAGTTGAATATTCACAAAATATTTGAGGGTTGGATCTCTAGCTATTAAAATTGGCTATCAATTTCTACTTGGAAACCTCTTCACAGATATTCCCTTTCTATCCCAAGGCAAAATACTAGCACTACTAAACCACATAAGGATTTGTCATTAACTTCAAATAGGCTAAGATTTTAAACAACTTGCCAGCTCTCCCCCAGATTCAGTAATTTTCCCCTTGGCTCCCAGGGGATTTCAATCACAGAAACTCCACTGATTGAGTTTGTACATAAATTGTGACCCAGCTTCACCCACATAACCAAAACATAACATTGCAATTGTTTATATTGCAGCACTGTTCTGGACCTTGTAAGAACAACAGTCCAAGAACTGAAGAATTTACAGTTTTGTTGCAAGCAAAGACCACAAAAAAGGCCATTAACAAAAGGAAAAACAATGAGAAAACCTATATTTGCTATGGAATTTCTTCTTACTCAATGGGATGTATACAACAAAAATGCAGGCAGTATAAAAAAAACCAAAACAAAACATGTATACGTGACAGTCTGAAAAGATAGATTTAAGAGAAGGAATATTTTTACTACAGAAGTCAGAGGAGCAAGAAAGCCATTATGTTAGTGGTGGAAGTGCTGTCTTGGGGAGAACCTTAGTTCAGAAAATATTTTCTCGTTCAGAAAAATATTTTGAGTTGTACTCAAATATTGAATTGAAGTTGCCACTTATCATGAGAAAAGCAAGCTTGGAAATGACTAAAGCTCTAGTATTTCAGACATTGTTATATAGTATTCTGAGATTCTTGTTTTGGGGGTTGAAAGGGTAAAAGAAAAGAATCCAGTATTCCCAGAAAGTTCTCAAGTCCTCTACTGGAACAGACAAACCTTGTTTGCTTTTCTACAGCTACCACTACAGTGGCTATTCAGGTTTCTTCCATATGTAAGGCAGTAAGAGCTAATAAAGTGAAAGCAAAGTTTACTTCACCTTCCACTTTCACTTTGCAGCATTGGGCAAATCATTTAACTCTTAGTCAAGGCAATGTTTGAGTGATGGTGTACTTGAAAAATTTATTCTCTGGCGTTTCAAGGCAGATTTAAGTCTACATCAAGTGCTTGCCATAAAAGGACTGTCTGCCAGAATATAAATTTCTGCACTTAGCCCCATACACACACCTGCAATATACTCAACTGATACAGAGTTTGAATACACACGTTCCGGTTTTTTAAACCAGCAATATTTTAATACCAGTAATTGGAAAAGGAAACTGTTATATTTCATCTTTTCAATATATACAGAACATTACAAAAGAGAAATAATTTTTACCTTTACATTCTTCTGGCTCTGTCTGTTGACTGGTGTAGAAGGAGTAGAAAGAACATAACCATTATTTTCTTGTACATTCATTATGCCAGAAATAAATTCCAACAGTTGAACCTTTAATAACAAAATCAGAATAAACTTAAATATGAAGATGACTAGAAAGCAAAAGTAGTATTAAAACCTGGTGAAACTATGTCTCCACCAGTTTGCTAGTGTTTTGAGGTTAACGCAGCCCTTACAACCTACTTTTGGTTCTAGTGTTTAAAAGTACAACTGTGTTAGTAGAGAAATGAGGTGTAAGATTCAAATTAACTTAGAAAAGATATTTCAAAGAGTTCTGTAATACACTTGCACTAAAAGCAGCTGCTTATGTTTTGGAGAACATTTAGTATCCTATATCATGTTTAGAATGAGGTCATTAAGGTACTCAAGTTCTCTATCTTCCCCATGAAAACAGGAATAAAAGAAAAAAGTCTGCAATGCTGAGAGCGGGCAGTAAAAGCAGACAATTAACTCCTCTCTAATTTTCATTACAAGCTAGAAGTATGTGCATCTAAATCCAACATTCATGATTTTTTTCAGTATCAATATCCTTTTGACCTTTCCATGCTCTAGAGAGCACAGAATCAAATAAAATCATGTGGAATGCTTGTGTTTCAAACTTATCTTAATTGCTATTTACATACATTTTTATCCAATAAGATAGAGATTAATCAAATTCATTTTTCATAGACTTTCATTGTCTAAGAGTGGAATACACACTAGAACTTCTCTAGCCTAGACGATGGCCTCACGTGCAGTGTCGTAAGAACATCTGAGCCACAATAAACTGCAACAGAGCTGCTGACTGAGTGGCTAAGTGGAACCTCTTCTGGTTTCTAGAAAAATCTAACATGGAACTACATGTAGTATAGGATAGTTTTTGCTTTTAAAAGTATGCTATTTTTAAAATGATAACCATTAAAAATATTTTGACTGCATATCAACATTGTCCTGCTTTCAGCTAGGATAGAGTTAATTTTCTTTTTAGTAGCTGGTACAGTGTGTTTTGGATTTAGTGTGAGAACAATGTTAATAACACACTGATGTTTTAGTTGTTGCTAAGTAGCACTTATCCTAAGTTAAGGATTTTTCAGTTTCCCATGCTCTGCCAGCAAGCAGGTGTACAAGCTGGGAGAAAGCACAGACAGGACAGCTGACCCAAGCTAGCCAAAGGGATATTCCATACCATAGAATGTCACGCTCAGTATATAAACTGGGGGGAGTTGGGCAGGAGGGACGGATTGCTGCTCAGGTATCGGTCACCGGGTGGTAAGCAATTGCATTGTGCATCACTTGTATTTTCTTGGGTTTTATTTACCTCATTTTTGTTGTTGTTTTATTCCTTTTCATTACAATTATTAATTATTATAATTTAGTTTACTTTAGTTATTAAACCATTCTTATCTCAACCCATGAGTTTTACTTCTTTTTCTGATTCTCCTCCCCATCCCACTGGGAGCAGGGACGAGCGAGCGAATGGCTGCGTGGTGTTTAGTTGCTGGCTGGGGTTAAAGCATGACAAACATACAACCAAAACTCCATGACAAGTGTTAATCACGAAGCTTTGTTCCAGTCTTACCAAATCTCTACAATTCATTTTTCAGTTCCATTTCTGGCAAAGAGTGATATACTCATAGAAGAGCTGTGGGACCCACCCACCCAGCAGGACAACAGAAAGAAAGAATTTTGAAGTGAATTTAAGATCTCTTTAAAATATTTAGTAATTTAAACTCATCTGCTTCCCCAATAGAAGACCAAAGTAACTTGTGAATAATTCAGAGCTCCTGTGTATATTTAGAAGTGTCATAAATCCATAACTGGAATCAAAAATATGTCAAAACAATATCAGAGATCAAACAAACAAATACTTACAGGGGCTATGCTTTCATCTTCAGATACAAGTCCAAGACCATAAAACTTCTGATATATGTCTATGAGATCTAACATATTGGTTCTTGCTAAGAAGGCATGATAAGCTTCTTTTACGTCAGCATAATTTTCAGGTTCTTTCATGTTCTCGTATGATAATCCCAGTTTGTCATGTAACAAATATTTCCAAGTTTCCAACACATCACTAAGCGATACTGTGAAATCTCCACGGTGCTAATAGAACAGAAAAAAGCAAAAATATTATATTTTTATTCAGCATAGCTTTAAAAATAACTTTAAAACAAGCTGCATATATATATTTTTAAAAAACTATTACAATCTAAATATTTATGTTTAGAATAAACAAGGTCTTACTTATAGCTGAAGGTCTTCCAGTACTTTGCCTTTACAGTTGAGTTTTGTTATATGCAGTATTCTGCACCTGTTTTCACCTTGCTCCCAAATCTTGGTGTCTTATCCAATGTTCATCATAATCTCTGTTTTCTCACAGCCATCTTTATTGCAGACCTTTCCATACTATCATACTCTACATCTTCCCGATGCCACTTCCCTGCCACCACTTCCTCTTTCCCCTGAAACCTGTGACTTCCTTACTGCTTACTCTTAGCCCTCCTCTTTCACAGCTAGACTCCTCATTTTCATCCACAGCCTGCTCTTTGATTTACATACCAGTCCCCGCTTCATGTCTTTAAACTTCTTCAGCTGAGGTCCTTCTATTTGAGTCAGACCTCAGAATACATGCAACCAGTAATTTTGCAACTGTAGCAAGTTTTCCAGTTTTCACCAAAGAAACAGAGTTCATACTACTAGTATCTAAAGCATTCCCCAGTATATGGCAGCAAAAATACTGTACTCAGATATACACTTAAAACATTTCCATCCTCCCATCTGTCTTGCGGTTCTTTTTCTAAGCCCTGATTCAACAGTATGCTTAATCATACTAATTTTAGTGCTTCGCTGCATCTGTCCCTCAGTTAAAACAACAATGAAGTGACCAAAATGGCCATTTCAGGTAGGTGTCTAAGCAAAAAACGCAGTAAGTGAACCACGTTTGAGATGTACTGAGTACCAAGAACATACTGAAAGAATGCTAACCTCTTTATTGACTTCAGCCATTGACAGTTGTAATGCCATCAGCATGCAGTCTGCTCCACATACAGTAGTCCTTTCAGAGTTTGAAAATAAAGGCCATTGTCTTCTGAAACACTTGATTGAGTTTAAAATCTTTTGCTGGAAAGCACTCATTGTCTAGAGTAGAAGATAGAAATAATTAAGAGAAATAAAAATTAATATTACTATGCAAGAGGCCTATGCACGACTTCACCTTCCACCACAGCATAAGCTGTGCAAATCTTGTTGTATCTTCTTGCAGATCAAGTTCCTAGAATAAAATCTTCTCACTAAACCAAAAGTCTAGTAAGACTCGCCTCAGCTATGACAGAGCAACTATGAAGATAATGGGTTAAAAGTGCTTACGTATGACGTCTCCATGAAAACCCCTTATTTTCCTTGTACTGATGCCAACATAAAAGAATAAACATTATCGCAAATATGACAGTCTTTTGTCTCTGAAAGCAGCCAGTCTGAATGCCCCAGAGAGTGTCTTCTATACTATCCGTATTCTCTATACATTCAGGCCAGTGCCTATCAGAACGTTTCAAACCTGGAAACAAGAGATTTAATATTTCTAAGACTTACTAACAAAGACATCTCTAAATGCTTTTGTTACCTATATAGTATTTTTTCTTTTTTTCATTTGATAAGTCATTATCTCCCCTACTTCCTTTGGCAATGAGTTTCAGTATCAGTTTTGAATTTGACTGCTTCACGCTCCAGGCTTTTTCACCTTTTTGCATTTGTCAAGACACAGGTACATGAGACTCTTTGAAAAATTTGCCCTCTTTAAACTTGTTCTTTACTGAAACATAGCTCCCTAACACTGCAGTGACAGTACAGGAGCAATACCCATACCACTCACTTTCAGAACACAAAACCAACCTTTCCCCTTATTTCACCTAGCTAAGGCACAGTCCACAGCAGTTTTTTTGGTGATTGGTATGACCAGGAGAAATGATGAAATGTAGGAGAGGGACACGGGAAACAGGAGACATCAGATAACAAGCAAGACTGCAACAGCAACTGCAATTACTTACACTCCAGAACGTTTGAAGGGGACTGCCTACTTTATTATCTTACCTTGACATGAACGAGGCATGCGGGCCACAGAGGGTGAAACAGGTAGGCAGGTGCAAGTCAGCGCGGGGCTGACAGAAATCTCTCCGGAGACACTTCCCTCTCTCACCCCACTCTGAGGGGTTTCCAAGGGACAAGACCTGTCACTCGGAGCAGAAACAGCCCGAGCAAGCCAAAAAGCCTGCGAAACAAGCCCGAAACCCCACGAGCCGACACTACCGTTACCGCCCCCGCTCCCCCAGCTGAAAACCCCCGGCTGCGGCCGCCTCAGGGCCCCGTCCCGTCCTCCCTCCCCAGGGTCCAGCCTGGCGCAGCTCCCCCGCCTCAGGCGGGACGCGAACCCGCGGCACCCCCGCCTCCCCCTGAGGCGGACCGCGGCCCTTACACCCCACCCGCGGCGCGGCTGAACCGCTCCCGCTTTTCTTGCGGCGCTACCTGCGCGGGCGGGAAGGCGAGAGCCGCTCGCGCAGCGGGACGGTTAGAACGCGCAAGTGCCCTCAGCGGCGGTTTAAATTTAAATCCTCCGCAGCTGCCCAATGAGAGAGCGGGAGCCGTTGACCCGGAAGGCCGGGGTTGCTGTTCCTGGGGTGGGAGGGGCGGCTGGCTGTTGGCGGGAGAGGCGCTGGTGGTGCCGGTGGGTGATTTGGGGCGCGGAGGTGCGTGTGAGGCGGGCGTCCCGCCCTGAGGTGAGGGGAGCTCAGAGCCCCGTCAGACCCCGCCTGCTGTGCGGACGAGCCCCGGGCCCTCGCCCTTGCCAGAGGGCCGGTAGGGCTGTGGGACCGGCGGAGTCGCTGGCAGCCTGGCTCGGGAGTGGCGGCTGGGCCCTGAAGGGAAAAGGAGGGAGTAGGAAGTTAAAGGGAGTGGGGGGCAGGTAACGGGCACCCACTCGGCTCGGTTGCCTGAATTGTGTTTCCTAAAGGGTTGCAACTAATACCATTCTTGGTATTTTCACACAAGTCTGGCGGCTTGTGTTCGTGGGAAGCCTTAAAGGAAGAAAACCACGGATAGGGTTAAGATTTGCACTTGGCCTTAGGAGCATAGCTGTACAACCTATATGGTTAAAGTATTTACGTTGATGTGGTGGTTTTTCTTAATAAATAAACATTGCAACTACGGAGAGTCTCTCTGCATTTTGGTGATGCCTGTGTCAGACCCAGGTGGCTCCCAAGCAAAGTATTCAGTCTTGGATGCTGAGACCTGCAGGTCGTTAACGCAGCAAAATCTGTCAAAGGTCTGAGATTTAAAGCTGGTTTTCCACGTGGTGTGTAATTAAAGATCTGATTTCCCCAAAGGCTTAAACTAGTGTCAAATCTGTGCTGGGACTAAAAGGAGTGATTCAGAAATCAGTTGTGTATCTTGGCCTCTTGTGTTCTAGCACAGGAACCTGATATGCTTGAAAATTGGTTGAATGCAGTAAAGTACAAGTTCTTTGGTACACAGAGGTATAGGTGCTCAGTCCGCAGTTGGAGTGGCTTAAGTCATGAAACCATGTTTCAATATTATGCATGATACTATTTTCATTTACAGCTTTGCAGCCATGATTAACTCTGCTTTTAGTTAGACACACAGAGTCTTTAAAAAGGTACACAAGCAAAGAGAATTTGAAGGTAGTAATGTGTCATTTCTTGTCATTTGGTTGAAAGTTTTAAAATTCTGTATGTGACTCTTCTGGTGTGTACGGTCACGTAATTTCTTGTCTTGGTATTGGGTTGCCAGCAGTAGCACAAAACCTGCGGTTATTGCTGAAGTCTATAGAGATGGTTTTGAATGTATGTTAGTTAGGTTAGTTAATCTTTTGATTGATGAAACTACAACACCTAAAAATAATGAGCCTAAGGGCAGCTTTTGTGTTCTTAAATACGACATTACAGGAAATTTTGATTTGTTGTGCCACAAATACCTTTTACATTTTTTCTTAACACAAATGAGTAATGCGTGCTTTTTAAAACTTTCTGTGTAGGAATGTAGATTTTCTTCCTGAAGAAGACATCACTTCCATGATACCTTGACTTAGTCCACTGAAAATGAAGCAAGATTCTACTAGAAACACAGCTTACACTGTGGATTGTGAAGATTATGTGCACGTGGTAAAATTCAATCCGTTTGATAGTGGAGATGCATGTTCCCTCATTGCATATGGTGGCAATAATTACGTAGTTGTTGGGACGTGCAGATTTCAGGTTAGTTTGTGTTGTTGTTGATTTTATTAGTTGCTTCCTGAAATTTACTTTGCCCACACCTTTACTGCACAAAGACCCTCGTCGCTTTCCTGTTTCCTTCCCTCCCCATTTAAACAGGGGAGGGTTTTACTTGTTTATTACATTAGCAAGTCTGGGATATTTGTTCTTCAAGAAAAAATATAAGTATATACATAACATCCACAATGGTATAACTTACCATTCTGCTGGTATAAAGTTCCGTTTGAATAGAATTGTAGAATGGTTTGGGTTGGAAGGGACCTTAAAGATCATCAAGTTCCAGTTCCCCTGCCATGGGCAGGGACGCCTTCCACTAGACCAGGCTGCTCAAAGCCCCATCCAACCTGGCTTTGAACGCATCCAGGGATGGAGCATCTACAACTTCTCTGGGCAACCTGTTCCAGTGTCTCACCACCCTCACAGTAAAGAATTTTTTCCTAATATTTAATCTAAACCTACCCTATTTCAGTTTAAAACCGTTAGCTCTCATCCTATCACTGCAGTCCCTGAATAGACTGCAAAGAAAATGGGAGTGCTCTACTGGAAGAGTAATCCCATTTTAGTATCTCTTGCTAATGTTGGTGACTGCTTTCTGAGAACTTAAGCACGCAACTTTGGAAGTATATGACTTAATATTTGCTGTACGTTCTTTATCATCACAGGGTAATTGGCTCCCTTTTTTGCATAGTTATATTTTGTTCTATGTACATTTGCTATTTAGATTACCTTCTAAAGCTTTCAGCTAGCCTGTGAAACAGCAAAGATTACAACTACTTTCAACTTTACAACTAAAGTGTCTGTGTTAATTTTTTAGGTATTTCTTTTAAGGAAGGACTGTAGAAATAATTACCTAAACTTTTTTTTTTTTTTTTTGCTTTCCCAGTTGTTTTTATTGGATCTCTCTCACAGGCTGTGAGAAACTGTAAAATATGTTTTCTTACCTTGAAATTATTTAGAGTCATCATATTATGAAAGTTTTAAAAATGTAAAATACTGTGTACTGTATATTTTTATACTGTATAAGTTTTTTTAATTAGGGGTTTCTTTGCCTAGATGCTTGAAAATCAATAGGAGACAACTGTTATCTTTGGAATCTATATTTAAGCTTTTTTTCTTCAACTCACTTCTCTATTATACAGTATTATTTTTGTACTTTATCTAATACAAATAACAGCATAATTGGTATTATTATTATTATTATTCCCCAAAGTCTTACTGTTGGAAATTTTCTGAAAAGCACCTAGTGCTAACCACAAAAACCTACTGTCATCAGTATTGCCCTCTATCTTGTTTCTGGTATAGGACTTGAAAAGAAAAAATTTTGACAACCACTGGTACAAGGTAGTTTTTCTATAATTTTCATATCTTCCCTTCTCTTCCACATGTGGAGTCATTGAGTATTTCAGAGTAGGGGAAGAAAATGCTGTTCTTGCTCCTTGCTTCAAGAACCATTGAAAAACTCTGGATAATTTCATGCTTCCTCAGCTAGGTTCTTCCTAGCTTCGACATTATGCAGAGGGCACACAGAGAGGTTCTTTACCTTAAAGCAGAATTGTGACAGAAAATTTTGTAGAAATATCCTTTCAGGTGCTCCATTAGATGTTTTGAAAACTTTTAAAAGTTTTTTAGAGGTCAGCTGATTGACTGAGTCCACAACCCCAACTCTTGTTTCACCTTTCCTGCCATCCAGTGTGCTCACCAGTGGGAAGAATAGACAAGTTATAATTTTGGTCGTGTTAGGTGACAGCGGGTACCTTTCTAGCTCCTGATGTTTGAAGAATGTTGTTCTGGAAGTGTTAGCATTTCTCCATAGTGTAAAAACAACTTGGAGAGAAGATAGCTTAAATGACGTGC